TAGATTCGCAGGCAACAGGAACTACACATCATCCCTGCCAGGGCACGTCCTGTCGCAGGGGAAAATTTTTGCAAAGCATTACCCCTCCCCCGTCCCTTCTCAATGCTCTCCAGCGGGAGTCTCCTAATGCTGCGGATAGCGCGCGTGAAACAGCAAAATCAGCTAATAAAAATTTTTCCTTGGGCCAAATACCTCCCCTGCCTCCCTCTAGCGACCCATTGACCTCTCACTGGGGATCCCCAGCATACGATGAGCCTTGATCCGGAACGGTGGACGTGCGGGGAAGTATCTCGTCAGGACGGCTTTTTCCAACAACTGTGCCGTTTTGAGCCAGCAATAGTTGGTGGGAAGGCTGCTTTGGCTGCGCTCCAGTACATGCCCCTATGAGGTCTCCCTTTTGTAGATAACTGTGAACTCATCAAAAAATACGAAGCTCTCCTATGACAAACTTCCGGAATCAGAAGAGGGGGGAACCGCTAAGTTCACATAGTACCCCCTCAATCCTCTGCCTATGATCTTTAGAAACTTGAAAAATGTCAAAAAACATTGAAAACACTGATTGAAAATTGAAAAAATCACCTTTTTCAAGGCGACTACATCCTTTGTTCGGCGATCAATCGCTTTCCAAACAATACCGTAAGCACCTTTACCAAGCCGTTTTTGCAGTTCATACTTGTCCAAGACGTGACCATCCACGTCCTCCGTCATAATACCCGTCTGAAAAGGATAGCATTCAAATGCTTACGGTAGAAATGATACTCTGCGGATACACCAAAATACAAATAAATACATGGGAAGATTGTAAGACCTTTATCACGAGTGAATGCGCGAGAGTATGGAGCAATGGAAAATGATGGAAGGGAAAAGAGAGAAGACGATAGGGGAGAACGGACGAGGACCAAAATGGGGGGGGGGGGGTAACGATGGTCCAATTATTGAAAAACTGAACTGTCCATGATAGTTCGAAAAGAAGGCTTTTCGAGCAGCCATAGCATGTGGCAAAACCACGTGAAAGCACATTGCAAGTTGATTATGTGGGCGGTGTTCGCCAAACAAAAATGACTTTTTATCAGCGCGCCCTCTATCCTAAGCCATTGAGGGGAGTGGATGACCCAACAAGACGATAACGGGCTTTTCCGCGCCCACACGAACAGCGAGGACAATGACTTTTATTTCCCAATACCCTCCACAGTAAGCATCTTTGTTTACACAGCAGTTGCTTGACCTTAGGCCAAATTCTGGTGCAAAAGAAAGCGTCCATTCGGCGAATGGAGATCTCGGACAGCTTCATGAATAAGTGAAAATTGCACGCATAAATTTTGCAAGTGTTTCCTCCAGTTCAAAACTGGAATAGCTCCAAAACTCGCTAAGAAAAATGTTTCCACTTAATCGATTCTCAATCAGTCACTTTATTCTTTCCATCAACACCACCCCTACACATGCTAGACCTCATGGAAAGCCCCACCTCGGATGGCCACGCCCTTTTTGCCGCAAACATGATTTTCGCAATGGCACTTTATATCGCGTTTACATTGTTTAATGGACCTTTCGTACACACTAAACCCCGTCCTCGACGACTCCACCCACTTCAGATTTATTGAAAACTCGCATTTCTATATTGCCTGATCGAATTCTTGTCAAGCACTAGGTTACTGGTCCCTTTTGGTGTATTGCATTTTTTACTTTTTAAATATTTTTAGATCCTTTCCTTTCTTCCGCATGTCTTCGCTATTATAAGCTGTGTGCGTAACAACGGCAGACGGCCCAAAGCGGCACGCAATATGAATCTATTCAATACATTTAAAAAAAATGGGTCGAATAGCGACGTACAAAATGCTGACTTCGACCATGCGGAAGTCCCCACCTCGCCAAAGTTGCGATGTAGGAGTCATGCAAGTCCTAGCGTTCCAGTAGGAGTTTGTTTACATGGCGCATTCCAAAGGAAATGGTAAACACTAGTCCTTGAATAATCCTTCATGACATATGAACAAAAGAAGAAGGGAATGAACTGAAGACTTCTTGGCAACGAAGACGAGGAGACTCGAAATCGATGGGCGCATAATTCCAGTAAAAACGGTAGCTGTCACTCAGAACCCATTTATGCCCTCGGAGCCAAGAAAAATAAACAAAATGTTCATCAACTGGGTGAACTTATTACGGAAAGCGGATGCGGGTACCAACCACAGTCTACTGGCATTGATTCCGTTCGAAATCAGATTGCTGCCGCCGATGGCGTCAATGTAGCGTAGACGGGTCATGTACGGTCTGCCAAGGCTGAGCCTGGGAGCAGAGGATCACTGTCCCTTCCGAGTTCAGTCCTAGGAGAGGGCTAAGTGATGTCTGCGGAATGGATCTGTTTTCATAGCCATGACGTCAGCTGAAACTTGTATGGAACTCATTCCAAGGATTCTGAATTATGGGCAAAACTCTCGGAGGTGGGACTCGAACCCGCAACTCGCCTACCGAGTGATTGATTCGTTCTAGTCCATTACGCCACCAAGTTTGTATCGATTTCGGTGAAAATGTGATGGCGCCAAGTCGCCTATTGGTGCCAAAGCGCCGGAGCCAAAACCATTGTCACACAGCGGTCACACCGCTTAATACCCCCCTCCCCAGCAAGTTTCTGTTGAGATTTCGAAATAGCGATAGCCGAACATTACTGGAGAAGCAGGGGAAAGGAAAGGCAAAGGGAAAGACTGGCTTCACAAGTCTAGGCAGCCCAAATTTTAAAAAGTGTGGTCATAAAGGACAGGTAATGAGGAGAGACATAAATTTTTCTGTGAGAATTTCATCCTTTAACAGCAAGACCATCAGCATGAAAAAGAGAGGAAGTCTCGTATAATCTGCTGGATAAGGTAAAATTCACTTAAAAAGATATTGGATAAAGTTTTTGTAGCTGCCCTCCATCCCTTTGTGAAATGCGGCACGCATTCTATTTCCATTTAGAACGGTAGTGGCTCATTGAATGCGATATGGCCTATAAATTGTAAGCTTGATAGGCGTGGGCGGCAGTTCACTCGGGATTTGAACTCAGGACCGCGCTAGTGATAATCGCACCACTTGTGAACACGAAGATATGGAAATTCATCTCAATGTTGTGCTATTGTGCTTGTCAAGAGTTCAATGGCGTACGGTACTCATTGGGCCGGAGATTTCGGCAGTACGATGTTCTTCTGGCTGGAGGTAGTGTCCTAGTGCTTCGAGATAAGGGCTACCTTAACCCCCTTAGCGTCCAGCTCATTTCAGGAGCTCAGATGATGTTCCGCATCAAGTAGAGAACAGACAGCGTACAGCGTTGACGTCAAAATCCCAGGTGACTAATTACTAGATTGAGGAAAAATTGACCTCAATTCTCACGGAAAAAAACTCAAAGTTTATGCTCATTTCACACAATTTCGCTTACTGCAAGTTCATGGAAGTACCTCGGGGATATTTTTGTGGGAAAGTTCTGCGGCAACGCAGATTACAAAGCAGTGCGAATCTGATTTGCCCTTTCGATATCAAATTATGAATCATGGGCAAAAATAAGTATGCCAATTTAGGTGCTTTATGCTGGAAGCGAGCGACAGTGTTTGGCAAGTAACGCTCAGGACAAGTCCTGCCGTCCCTGCCGGAGGAAATTTTCGCAGAACACGACCCGCGCCTCAAAACTTCCCCTCTGGTGCACCCCTCCCTCCCCGTCCCTACACTACCTGCCATCTCCCTGAATTTCTCCTATTACGTAGTATTTTCGTTTTATTTTTTTGCGAAAATTCACTCACTTTTTCCCCAGAACTGCGATCGAGGGGAGGAGTAAAAGGAAAAATGAGAAAAGTCAACAAGCAAAAACGTTTCTCACCTCGTTTCTCAGGCAAATACGACCCTCCCCCTCGATAAGGATCGCCAACGACATGCCCCGGGAAGGCGACAACAACATTAGGATAGCGAAGGTGTGCGGTAAGGTAAGACATGCGGATTGTGCGAATTTTTCAAATCACTAATTTTTAGCCAATATTCAAGTCATAACTTTAGATTTTTTTTACGTTTTGGGAAACTCCCCAATAACTGATTTCACAACAATAATATAAACAGTCCTACTTCGAAACGGAAGATACGGAATAATTTGACACTTTGAAATTAAGCCACGTTCGGACTTCGCATCGTCGCACGTCGACGCGCATTACAGCGCGTCACAGCGTGTCGATCAGCGACGTCGCGAAATCCGAACGCTGCCTTGCAACGAGAAACAAAGAACGGAAAATTGTGCATAGTTTCACTGTGGAATCGCTAAAATAGTTGGGGGGACTATTATTTCGCCAACAGGACTTTTCTGTTCTGAACTTTTTTGATTCCCTTTTCACGCGCACTAACCGCAATTGGCGTTTTGGCGGTGCAGAAGAACTACTGTTTCTAATAGCCGACCGGAGGGATCTGTTTCCACAGCTCCCACCGGTAGACAGGGAATTTTCGGAAGAATGTTGGTGGAGGGGAAGTAGGTCGTGAGAGGTGGTCGTAATGAAGATCCCGGAGGCTCTATTCAGTCAAAATCTTAGTCAGGCGCTTATGTGCCCTGAATCCATGTTGCTGACTGTACGGCTGAACGAGGACATTGAGAAAGAGCACTTCGTATCAGATTGTTCGCACCTAATGTGTGATCTAGTTGTATTACTTCGAAGCAGCACGTATCAGAGGCGAGTCATATTTGGAAGCTATGAAGTTTATTGATGTTGTTGCTTCGGATCCCACCTCCACCTTCCTCAGTATTTTCCCTTACAAATGTTTTACACCCCTAAGCTGTACTCTGTTCGGACAGCAGCTACCATGACTACTGAATTGTCTTTCTTTGTTCCACTCATTTGGAGCACAAAAAAGGTCACAAGTTCATGAACCTGAAAAGCAGGGAGCCTTTCCCATGCCCTATGAGCTCTAAATTAGAAAAGCAGTCACAAAAATATGTACGGTTACGTTCATACTTGGCGACTGGACGTTTTAGGAGAGTTGGCGTTTTGGGTGAAATCGGCGTTCCGAGCGGAAAAGAAAAGTATAAATATTAAACGCCTCCGGTTGCCAGTGTTTTGAGCGAGCCGGTTTTTCAAGAACCGATCAATACCTGTATTTTCCTTTCGCTCAAAAAGCTAATTCTACGAAACTATCGCAAAGTATAAACACAGCCGGAGGCTGATCACAGCAACTGGAACCTGGATCCCGCATCATAATATATCAGAAAAGTTAAGGGACAGCTTCTCCCTTTATTGAACAGCCCCGAGAAATTCCTATTGAAAAAGAACCACCATGGTAGAGTTTTAGAGAGTACACTTATAGCTTCTTCACTTGGAGATCATGTATAGAATTTCTTAATTTCAAAGGTTTATCTTTTGGAGCTAGCAAGGTTAATTAGTGGAATTCTAGTCCGGTTTGGTGGAAGTAGGGGGGGGGGGCGGTACACTTTTGCTCCCCACTGTCCTACTGAGCCATCAAGTTGGAGAATTGTGAAGTCTTGCCAAGCCATGAAGGGACACCAATCAAAGTTAGTGGGAACTACTTGTCAACTCTCATAAAGGACATCTGTCAGCTCTTGTCAAGCAATGAACACATCAATGGGAAGTGCAGAAAGTGCAAAATGCCCCTCCAAACCCGAACGGAGCCAAGAAGATGATGCAGTGCATGGAAATCGACTCGCGGCAGTTCTAAGCTCATCCGCTATCCAGGCCAGGCAGCGGAAGTAGCAAGGTTCTGTCTCTTCAACTGCCGGCGGGTTTTCAGTCCAAAATCTTACAAATCTATTGACTAACTGGTAAAAATAACATAACAAAGGAGAGATGAGATGTGTGACGAGAGCGGTATCGATTCTCACCGCCGATGGCGATAGTTCGTGGTGTAGCCTCCCCACTCCACTGCTGCCGCAGACGACTTCACCATGACGACGCGCGCGGCCACCAGCAGCAGAGAGCTGTTCCTCGTCCACAACACTTCCAGCAGACCCATTCGGCCCCACTTGCGTCTTTTAAAGTTCTCATGGGTTCCTGATCAATGCTAAAAGCCCCTCTGAGGACATTCTCGAAGAGGAAACTGGAAAGCAAGGGTAATCCCATCCGAGATCGTCAGCCGCCTACGTCACTAGAGGACTTTACTCCCAGCCCCTCCAGGCTTCTCGGCCACGCCCACCAGTGTTATGCAGGTTACCCACTAGTCAATAGCCATTCTTAACAATAGTACACCTGGGCGGGTATTGTTCCGGGATTGTTTATCCCCTATGGCCATCCGTCAACATGTTCTCCGAATACCGTAGCTTTGGGGAATTATTTACTTACC